TTAAGCAACATTCCCACTCCCAACCTCTACTTCTTTCCCACCAGGAGGGATTTATAAACTGCAACCAAGGTTCTTGTGATTGTAAGAAGCTGTATTCAGATATACTAAAGTTGCTAATAAGAGAAAGTCTTGATTTTCTTACTGTCTTCTATCTCAGTCTTCCTCCCTCCTCATGGGAACTTCCAACACTTTCCATTCTCCTCAGGCCTCAGAGCATCTCTGAAGGTCACAAAGAACACTTGTGTGAGCCCTTGAATTGTCACTGAGCCTTTTCATCTGAATGCAGAAGATCTGCTGACCAGCTCTTGTTTTGGAGATCATAATATCTTGAGTAATCCTGGACTAGATGTCTCTGTGGGCACAAAGGAAGTGAAGAGCTGGTGGCCCAGTGATTTCCCTATGGAAATAAGAAGCCAGGTTCAAGTCTCCTGCACCTGCAAAGGTACAGTGGTGTGATCCCCCACTCCTCTTGTTAAGTACACCTAAACACCATTGATAGTGTGTAGAAAACAAACATAGGAAGACTCTGAAAGATGGAGAGAAAATGCTGACCAAAAAAACAAGGAACCCAAGGAGCAACATGGTGGTGAACTCTTTGGTTTTCTGTTTTGCCTTATACATTCCAGACTTGGTGTTGAAGAGACAGTAACCTAGAAATACCACAGCCATAAACCTAAGGTGGAGGGAGGGGAAGGAGGAATCCAACTACATGTTGTCTACAAGAAACTCATTGCAAATACAATGGTAGTCTATGTGGAACATCCCAAGTAAGCTACAAAAAACAAAACAAAACAAAACAAAAGAACAGCCCAAACCCCACACCTATTATATTTGATAAGTGAGTTCATCAAGATCACAGGAAACAAGATCAACATCAAAAATCAATTTTATCTCCATATACATGTGGAAAATTGAAATTTAAAGTATGACATTTATAATTAAAGGAAATAAAGATATAAGTTGGAAAAGCCACATACAAGACTTGTATGCTGAAAACTATACAACCTGATAGAATAAATCAAAGAACTAATTGAGTTGGGAGATGTACCATGTTCATGGATTGGAAGACTTGACAGTCATAATGTCAATTCCCAGCAAATTGATACACATGTTTAATGCATTTCCTACCAAAATCTCAGCAAGAATTTCTATAAGTATAGACCAGATTTTCTAAAATTCATATTGAAAAGGGAACGAAGTAGAATAGCTAAACCAATATTGTAAAAGAAGAATAAAATGGGAGGAACAAATCAATCCAATTTAAGATTTATTAGATAGCTTCAATAATCAAGACTGTGGTCTTGATGGAGGAATAGACATGGAGCAGTGGAGCAGAATAAGGAACCCAGACACAGACTCACAGAAGTACACTGCTGAAATTTTGACCAAGGTGCAAAAGCAATTCAAGGGAAGAAAGACAGCCTTTCCACAACTGTGCTGGAGCGAGGATGTGTGCAGACAAAGGAATTATGACCTAAGTCTCACACCTTACTAAAAGATCAACTCTAAATGGGTTAGACTTACACATAAAAGATAAAACTATATAACTTTTAGAGAAAAGCACTCTCCTCTAGTGTAGGACTACACAAAGGCTTCCTTGATAAAGCCTGTATCAAGAACTCTCAATGGTCTACTGCAAAATAACACACAAGTTGAAAATGGCCCAAAGAAAGGAAGAGTCATTTGCCAAGTAGGGTATGCAGACGACAAACACGCTGAAAGACATTTAACAGTATAGTGTAAGCTACTAGGCAGATGCAGGTAAAACCACCAGGAAACACACAAGGAATGGCTAAAATTGTTTGGTGACAATGCTAAATGCTGACAAGAATGCTAAGAAGCTGGAGCTCCCATGGGTGGGGATGTCAATTGACACAGTCACTCTGGAAAACATTTCTGCAGTCTTTTCAAAAAATGAAACTAGCTGGACAAGATATTATGTCTATAATCCCAGCTACTTGGAAGGCAGAGATCAGGAGGATTATGATTTGAGGCTGCCCCAGGCAAAAAGTTTGTGAGATACTCATCTCAACCAATGAGAAGATGGCCTGGTGGCACACACCTGTCATCCTAGCTATGAGGAAAGTATAAATAGGAGGATCTCAGAGTAGGCCCACCTGGGCATAAAAGCAAGACCCTATTCAAAAAATAACTAAAGCAAAAAGGGCTGGGGGCATGGGTCAAGTGGTAGACCAGGAACCTGGAGTAGAGAGATTAAGGAGCTACCTGGCAAGTGTGAGGTGCTGAGTTCAAACACCCATAAAAAAGAATCTAAAAATGCAGTTTCTCTGCAATCCAGCAATGGCCTTCCTATACATTTGCCTCCGGAGAAGTGAAGGCTTGCGTCCACACACAGGTCCATGGACGTTCACAGCAGCTTTATTTGGAATAGCCCCAAACTGGAAACAGCTCAGCTGTGCTGCACCAGGTACAAAGTGTGCATCTCTACCACAGAATACCACACACAGCCCAGGTTTGTGCTGAGTTGAAAATGTGAATACTAGGTTACATATGGTATGACTTCATTTGCAGAACATTTCTGAAATGACAAAACTGTGGAAATGAGAACAAACTCATGATTGCCAGGGGCTGTGGAGGAGGTGGGGGAGAAAAGGAAGGAGATTAGGCTAAAGAGGGCACTGCACAGGATTGCTGAGTTGATGAAATGCTTCTTGGTTTGGTTTTATTGGGACTTTGGTTTTTTGTAGCCCAGGCTGGCCCCCAACTTGTGACACCCTGCCTCAGCTTCCAGAGTGTGGGAGTTTTCTTGACTATCAGTGTCAATATTCTGGCTCTGATATTGTACTGTACTTTTGTAAGAAGTTATCTTTGGGGGAAATTGACTAAAGCATATCTTTGTCTTATTTTTCTCTCTCTCTCCCTCCCTCCCTCTTTCTCTCTCTCCTTTCCTCCTTCCCTCCTTCCCTTCCACTCTACCTCCTTTCCTTTTTCCCCTCTCTTCTCTTCTCCCTCTTTCTCTTCCTTCTCTTGTCTCACTGTGTTGCTCAGGCTGGTCTTGAGCTCATGGGCTCAAGTGACCTTCCTGCCTCAGCCTAACAACTGACTGGGACTACAGGTGCTAGCCCCCAGCCTGGTCCTTAATCTCTCTACTCCAGATTCCTGGTCTGCTGAGCACACATTAAACTATCATCTGTGTCAGTAACCAAACTGGAGAGCTCTAGATTCAACTGAGGTTCCACCCCAACTCCAGTGAACTCTCTTCAAAATGGTCAGAGTATTTAGTTAGGGGACACCGGGCTGGGAAGGTCTGAAAAGATCCATCAGACCACCAGGCACCCTTCCTTTCTATAAACCACAACCCAGGTAAACACAGGTGGACCCCAAATGGTGTGCATGAACTCACAGGCCAAACTTTGATTCCCCCAGCTCCCTACCGCCAAACCTGGTCTGCTCATGAAGTAATACTTTTGGAAGTCCCTACCCCAAGCCCTGGGGAGCTGCCTGAAGCCACAGAGTGGGCTGGTGGCTCAGCAGGACCTACAGCCAAAGCTGCCTACTAAAGTCTGTTTCATTGAAGTCAGATAGCAGGCTCTCCTGCACCTAAGCCTCCATGGACACTGAGGCACCAGTTTCTGGGAACATCAGTACCTTTCAGTGCTGCTGCAGTGGTAAGTGGTTGGGGAAGGAAGAAAGAAATGACCAGGAGGCCTGTGGAGGTCAGTGTGGGTCAAGAATGCAGATGATACGGACTCCAAGTCCAGGGCTAGTTTCTGTGTTCTCCAGGGCCACACCGTCAGCTGTACTTAGGTTTCAGAATGTCCCCTGGAGCACCCAGAGGGTAACTGTTCCACCTGTGTCTCTGGTGTAAGCCTGTATGTCTGTGCATGTGTGATATGTGTGTGTGCCTGGTGTCTGTGTCTCTGTGGATCTCACGTGTCTGTGTAGTGGTGTTTGTGTGTTGTGCGCGTACATGTATGGTGCCTGTGTCTGCAGACACGTGGTGTCTGCGTGGTGGGGATCTGCCTTCCCATGTGCAGTGCGGTGACCGCGGAAAGGGGTCCTGCGGTGCGTGTGCCTGTGTGTTGGTGCGGGCATCTGTGCACACATGTGCGGCGATGCGGTGTGTGCTCCCAGTATCTGCGCATCTCTGCGCGGGTGTCTATGTGCGGGCCTGGGAGCGCGCGTGTGCGCGTGGGTGTGGAGTCTCCCGCGTGAGGCTCCGGAGGACCCGGCTCCGCTCAGGGCCCCGTGACAGACCCGGGACTGGGAGGAGCGCGTGGCCGGTCCCCGGGCGGCGCCCGCTCCTCCCCGCGGGCCGGGCACACGTGGCCCGGCGCCGCCTCCCCGCGCCGCCTCGCGCGTCCCCACCCACCGCGGGCCGCCCCCGCCGCCGAGCCGGCCGCGGATAAAGTGGCGGCGCAGACGCCGCGCCCTGTCGCCGCGGAGCCGGCCGCGCGCAGCTCGTCCGCCCTGGCCCGCCGCAGACCCGGACCCGCGGCGCTCGGGGGACGTGACAGCGGCGCTCGAGGCCCGGGTAACTGCGTCCCGCCCCCGCCCCCGCCGCCAGCGCCGCAGGGGTGGGAGCCGCGGCCGGGGTCGCCGCACTCCCGGCGCGTGTGCGCGGGTGTGTGCGCGCGTGGCAGTGTGTGCGCGTGAGCGCGCGCCCCCGAACCTCGTACCAGCCCAAACCGACCTGTCCCCGTCCCCTCCATCTTCCCAGCCCCGGTGCGGAGACACCGGCGAAGTGCCGAGCATTTCCCAGGGCAGCTGCGGGGCCCCGCTCCCCGCGCTGGGCGAGGCGTGCGGGAGGCAAAGTTTGTCCGAGCCTCGGGGCCCGCGTCCGCATCGCGAGGTGCGGGGTGCGCAGCCGGCCCCGGCTCCCTCCCTCCCTCCCGCGCGCCTCCCGCGGGCTGTTTGGGGAAAGTGATGACACCAAGTCGTAGTGGAGCGGCGCGGGCGCTTCCCCGCCCCGAGGGAGGGAGCGGGCGCGGGAGCCCGAAAGCCGGGACCCGCCGGGCGGGCGCGGGGCGGAGAGCAGCGCGGGAGCCCCGGACGCTGCCCGGCGCCCGCCGCGATGAGGGCACAGCCCTGACTTGCCCGCGGTGATCCTCAGGCGGTGGCGGTGGTGGAATGCAAAAGCCGGGACGTAATGGAAACAGGTTTGTCTTGGCGTCTCCGGAATCTCAGAAAGCAGGAACAACCCGAGTGCCGCGGACCTCGTTATTGTGCCCCCGGGAACTGCGCCCTGGAGACTTAAAGAAAGATGAGTCTCCTTGCAGCTGGGGCTTTGTACCCACCGAGCTGACTATCATTTCCGCTTGATTACAGCTAAAATAGTCTTTAAGATGAAGTTTCCTGAAATGATTTAAAATAAACACAGATGGCAAAGGGGGAGAAAGCTGTAATGAGGCACTTAAAAAATAAAGTGAGCATTTTCTTAAGGACAAATGGGATTTTTCCGTTTTGGGAGATTTGCAAGAAATGAATGTAATTTTTTAAAAAATCTCTCAAATGGAGGTATGCTTTTTCTTTTTTAAGCTGCTTTTTAAAAACACTGCTAGGGCAAGGCTTTGCTGCCCAGTCTATATGAGCTTTTGCTGTAGTTTTGACTTTGGAATATGTCCATTTTTCTTTCAAGGGCTTGAAGACCCATCCACAATGCCAGAGGAAAGTTCTCCCAGAAGGACCCCACAGAGCGTTCCATACCAGGATCTACCCCACCTGGTCAACGCGGACGGACAGTACCTCTTCTGCAGGTACTGGAAGCCCACCGGCACACCCAAGTAAGTCCTCCTCCAGCCGGCCATGGCAAGGGGCCTCCTGCTTGGTCTTGGCACATCTCCTGAGGGGCCACCCTCTCCAGACCCACTACCATGCCATTTGGATGTTGGGCACAGCAGTGTAGCAGAGCTGAGCACTGCTCTTTACAATTTCCTAAAATATTAAGAAGCAAGAGTTCTCTTTTCAGTCTGATGACTAGGATTCTGACTTGACTATGTGGCAGCTTTCAAAAATTCTACATGACTTTATTTTTTATACTGGAGTTGATTTCCTGTTGTATAGGCATTCATTTAAAAATCAAACCCAACAATTAAAGAAAATCCTGTAAATGCATAAGAAAACTAAAATTATGTATATATGTAAGTATATATATAACCTTTGCTCTCTTTTCCTGCTTAATTGTGAGCTTCAGAACATGACATCCGGGTGCCACTGGGAAGAAGTGGTCTGGGTGTTTCCTCTGGTTCCGTGCCAGCTCTATCACTCTGTCCATTTTCCATCAAGGATCTGCCTCGCTGTGGCAAACAGCATTGGGGCTGCCCACAGCCAGACAGCTGCTCTCTGCTACTTGCTCCTCCTGGATGAAGCAGGAAAACCCTGCTTGTCTGTGTTATTCAGAGAAAGAGATTATTTGTGGCAACAATTGGCCTGGTGACATGTGAACATTTCCTGTTCCCTGTTCCAGGGATGTTTTACTGTTCCACAGGCCTTCTGTCTTCTAGGGATTCTATTGTGATATATATGGTGTCTCACTCGATATATATGGTGTCTCACTCTGTGGCCCTAGCACAGTGGTCACCCTAGCATGGCTGTGTATTTCTCCTGTTATCTTCGGCAAGGTATATATTATTCAGGTGGCTGTGTGTTAACAGTGCAGAGTCAGGGACTTTAAAGTCCTGGCTTAATGTCATAACTTCAGGCAGCTACACCAACTTGTGATTGCTTTCTTTCCAATGTGATTCCAGAGTGGACAGTGGGCTGATTAGAGTTCTTCCGGTTCTAAAAGATAGCCTGTAGAGGAGAGAGTGTCTGTGTGTGCCTGTGTGTAACTCATCATTAATTCTCACTCTGGCTTAACTGGTGATAGCATTGCACATTCTTGTTTCATTTCTAACAAATTATTGTGTGGTGAGTTATTTGATTTATATACAGAAAGAGAAGAAATTGGAAGTCAAAGTCTTTAATGTATAGTCTTAGACTTTGGGGGTTTTGTGGGTTGAGTTAATGAGGGTGTCCTAGTTTGAAGTCAGTAAAATAAAGAGGGCCTGCAGTCCCTCCAGTGGGGGAAGGGTAGTGTGGAATGGGCTAGGAATGGCTGAGTTGGCTGCCCTCCCGTGGCTGGGGGCTGGTTTTCACAGTCTCCCTGCTGAAGTTGCCTTGCAGGCAGCTCTCTGCTCTTTGCTTTTGCTCTAGTTAGAGAGGCAGCCCAACTCTGTAGTTTAAACTGAGCTGTCTCTTGGAAATTAGTGTCTGCCTGTGTTGGATGTCAGTTGGATGTCAGGGGACCAAACAGCGAGGTTGTTGAGCCCTAGGATTTGGAAGAAATATGGGTCTGGAAAGTCAAGGACAAAAAACAACATTAAGGGCAGGAACCTTGACATAGAGACAGCAACAGAGCCACTAGCATTTGTGGCTCAGTTAATTCCCTATATCCTCATGTTGTGGAAGAGGATAGAGAGGCGAGGTCACCCAGTCACATGGCCAGCCCAGGTGGCCTGGCTCTGGAGCCCACCATCTCCCTGCCCTGCCTCCACCTCCTGGGGGTGATACAAATCAGTGAGCTCACTGGGAGCCTGGAGGTGGGGGCTCCCTCTTGGGGAAAATATTTTACAACCAGCCCTGACCAATGGGAACAGACCAGGTCCTGCCCCCGCCCCAGCCCCCAAGAGGCCTTGGGAGATCCTAGAGAATGGGTCAGGGCAACCAGTGGAGGGCAGAGATTGTGCCATCTGTAAGGGTGGCAACTCCAGATCTTAGTAACCAGGACTGCTCAGCAGGCTGGCTCTTGCATGGTCTGGGAGATCCAGATGATGTCTGCCCAGCCTCATCTGGTTTGCTCTGGGGGAAGAGGGAGGGGACTTCAGGTCATGTTGGGCCTCAGCCCACCCCCCACCCCAGGGCTCTTTTCTCCCTCCTTAGTACAATCTGGGCCTTGCATGATTATGAGTCCTCCCAGTTAGGAAGGAGGAGGAGAGGGAAGAAGGAGAAAAGAAAGAAGGAGTTAAGCCCTTCAAGCCTGCTCTGTTGGGAAAATGTTGAATGATCTCCACCTGTTCCTTTATCTCTCCCACGGGAGCCCTGGGATTGTCTTGGGGTGAGGGTGCCTTTGTCACTTGAATCTGGTTTGGGTTGCTTTTGTGGTCAAAAAGTTGACCTCTGCTCCTGGACCTCCTCAGAGCTCTTGACTCTTGTTCTCTTGGATATTCTGCCCTCAGAGAACTTCCTGGGTTCCAGGACTGGCTCTGTAGGTGCTCAGAGCAACAGTCACAGGTGCGTGCTGCAAGCTGCCAAACCGGCAGAACCTGCTTTCTGGAAGCAAGTTATGTGAGCTCCTCAAACTGGACACTGAGAGAGAAGCAAGCAGATCTTCAGATGGTCATGACACTGTGAACAAGCACAGTGCTGGTTTTGATATAGCAGACTGGAGTTCCAGGATTTAATCACTCTGAGGGTTCATACCTCCATTTGGCAGCATCAAGGCAAGTTCCTGCTCATCTAGTAGTATTTATGATAGTAACAAATACTACACCCTTTACGATAGATCGCATCTGAACTGGGCGCCAAGAAGGTTCTGTGGGGGAGGGGGTCCGTGGTCTCATTCCTCGTTCACAGTAGTCTGGAGACAAGTGTTACTGTTACTGCTGCTGCTTTCTACAAGAGGACACAGAGGTCTAAAGTTACAAACTATCTTGCCCCACATGCTGGCTCGCAGCTGGATTTGTTCTCCTTGACCACCACCAAGCATGAGAGATTACAGGTTATGTTTTCCTGATTAATCTTGTAGGTTAAAGTAAACATCACGTCCTAGGATGAAAAGGAAAAATCTAATAAATTTTCCCTAATCGGGCACTCATATATTTATGTCTTTAAGATAGATTAAAGATACATATCCATTCTGGGGGGAAAAAATAATCTTGTGCCTTGGTGAATGGCTGCCTTATCTGGATTCCGTTCTCTGGCATCTTAAACTACTGGTTCTTTAGTGAATTCCCGCTGATGGTATTGGTGGACTCGTGGAGACTGGCCCACTGGATGGAGGTCTAGGGACTTTGTGGGCTCTTGTGGTGTGATGTTCATGGTGTCTGTGTGTCCTGGCGTATCACTTAGCACCAAGTGGTCCTCATCCCACTTAACTGCTGAGAATTACATAGCCATATGAGAAGAGTGAGGTGCCTGTGTGCACGTGGTGAATGATTGAGTGACACTGTTGAGGTGGGGGGTAGTGGTGTTCTGAAAACAGTAATAATCTGATGCCTTAGATGCCCCAAAAGTGCTGATTTGTTTTCCGTATGACCAGAAGGCTGAAGAACACTGTAGTTATGTGATTATCCAGCTCTGACCCCAACCAGTTAGTTTAAGGCATGGGGTAGTTACATTAATCCGTTTGTCAGCAAGGCTACCCAGAGGTAGATGCTAAGTGGAGTGGATGGAACACAGAACCCAGTGCCCCCTGTCCTTAAATCTGACATCCCCTGTGCTTTGTGCACTTGAGCTCTAGATCACTCCTTCATCTGAAGAGCAGACACACTTTCATTTCTGTAGCTGTTGTTACGGTAACAACTGGTGTATGAAAGGAGCCATCTCCAGTGTGCTATCCTGGCTCCTGTAGTTGTCCGTAGGCACATCCCACCCCACTCCACACCCACACAGCCTCCACCCTCCTATAGAACCCAGCCTTAGGGCTTCAACAAGCCACTCATCTGTTATCTCCATTGGCATTTTGTTCCAAATTTCTCCACATTTGCAGAGACCTTCCAGAACCTAACCCTTCTCCAGGCCTTGCTGGCTCTGCTTTCCTTTCCTCTCTTGGCCGCAGACTTCAGCAATGTAGCTTTCCCTCCCAGTAGCCCTGCAGCAATGCTCTCCCCACTGCGTCCTCCTCCCTGGCCTCCCCCAGGTCCCCAAGGCTGAGGCAGGACTGACAGCCCTGTGGTTGCCAGGATTTTCCTGTTGGTGATTTGGTTTCCTGGCCATGAGTGGGGCACATGATGGGGGATGGACTGAAAAGGGTGATGTTCTATCATTTATGGACCCTGCCGAAGTACCCAGCATGGTGGCTGTTGGTAGATCTAGAGGGCTGTCCTGTGTTCCATGGAGTAGGTTCAGCTGTTGACTGGTCTGAGTCCTGCCCTTTGCTGTGTCATGTTGGTCCCTGCTCTGAAAGCCCTCCACTCTGTCTATAATGCTGGCAGTGCCATGCTAGGACATTCCCTCCTACCTATGCAAATCTTCCTGGGGAAGAAGTTCTTTGCTGGAAGCTAGGATATATTCAGATGGCTCAAACCATCCTCCCTCCTGCTACCCTATAATGTCCTCCTTACACCAGGCACCAGCCTTTTGGGTGTGGACCAGTGGCTGCAGGGGTAAGGGTCCCTCCCAGCCATTCGGGTCTAGACCTTGGTGATGAAGACTCATCACCACCTGGCTGGGCATGATTTCCATCCCCTCTGCCTCCTGGAAACTTCGTTCTCAAAGGTCAGCCTGGCTTCTGCCCTCCCTTCAGGTTTTCTAGGCAGGTTGTAAGCCAGTTCTGTACTTCGTCTTGCCCCCAGCTTAAGGCATTCATTCGATGCTTGGAACCTTTCTGCAAGCTCCTCCTTGGGTGTATAAAGGCATAGGAAGATGTTCCCATGTCCCCCGCAGCCCTTCTGAACATGTGCCACCTGGACTGGGTGCCAACTACACCACCTACCTGGTCACCTAGCTGGCAGTGCCAGCTCCTCTCTGGGCCTTTCCTCAGTCTTCTTGCTCAGCCTGCGTCAGGCTTTTTTGTCACAGGTCT